GCCACGTTAAGGATTAATATTTGTTTTTATTTTGTCCAAATTTTATTACAAATAAAATATCAAAATTTGACATGATTGCATACAAGCCTCTACAAAGAATTTTATCGATACTGTAGTTGTCTGCTGAAGAACTGTAGTTGTTTCAAAAACTGTTTTCATTGGTAATAATTACTTTATCTGTCTCACCTTTGATGTAACTCCAACTACACTTATTTTGAGAGAAACATGGCAGTCATTCCAAACTATCTTAAATTAATTTTTTCATTTTATAAAAAATATTTATTTGAAGTTTTCATATACCAATCACAGTATGTATCTATCTACCTAAAATTACCCATATTGTAACAGTAATTATTTTTAATTGGGGAATGAGTCCGAGGGATTAATTTATCTATATGAAAATTAAAAAAAAGGTGAGTATAGTTCCGTACATATGTGAAACAAGCTAGAAAGTTATAAAAAGAATTGAAAAAAGAAATACAAAAAGATGTAGTTACTGTATATGTTTCTCCACTAATACAATGAAAATAACTAACATTTGTTAACAGGAGAAATACCAAGATCTTTTTTTTTTAAATACAATTTAAAAAAAAGATCTTGGTATTCAAAGAATATGTTCCACAGAAAAATTACCTCTTTACAGGGTTCATAGTTCAAAAGTAATATAGAATTCTCTGACTTTTCCAGGTTTTCCCTGACTTATAAAAAAAAATCCAAGTCACTTTAGTTTATTTTTACATGCTAATTGTTGTTTATTCATTAAACTTTTTCTAGATTGGACTACATAATCTTTTTTAAACCCAAGAACCTCTTACAAAGGTGTCAAAACCACAAATAGTTTTCTCTTTCTAGAGTCCAGGGCCGGCTTTCACAAAATTTCCTGTTGCAAACATCAAATTCCCTGACTTTCATAAATACTCTTAAAATTCCCTGACTATTCCCTGTGTTTTATAAAGAATATTGAATTTCCTGACTTCCTGGTATTCTCGGTTTTCCAGGCCGCTACGAACCTTGCTTGATAAAATGCTATCCGTTGAATTTAAAATTATTAGTCGTAGTCTCTCAAAGTTTCCAAAAAAATATGTCAAATTTTACAAAAAATTCCTACTAATGTATGTGCAACATTCTTATAATTTTTTCGAAAATTTCTGTCCATACTACAATGCCTTTGCCTTCACGCTCACCATGTTCTAACACACATGAATTTTTTTCTTTGGGGGCATATGAAATGTATTGTTTACAGTACTTCAAATAACTGTTGAAAGACTATAAGAAAGAATTTTTCCTTGCAGTTAGCGATATCTGCAATATTTTTGTACGAATACGTGACAACTTTCACATATGTATTAGACTGTATTTAAAACAAAATAGAAATTATTTCCAACTTATTATTTAAGTATTCTTTTTGCTTTTACATACTTTTAATAATAAAATATAAATAGCATATTTCGTGATTTAAAATAAGATCTTGACCCATTTCCTACGCTCTACTTTTCCAATTACATAGTCTTCTTTCTACTACTTTGAAAATCTGTCTGTGGAGAACTAGGCAATTTGAATATTGCTGATATATTGTTTTTACTGCAGCACAATTTTTTCTACATTCGAAGAATACTTACGGCANCCAAACGCGAAAGACGTCTGTGGGGTCGCGACGAACCGTTATTTTACCTTACTAGGCCTTTCTTAAACGTTAATGCGTAGCTACGCCCCGAAATGTATAGGTATTTTATGATTATTTCATTAGATACCTGTTTCTATACATACTTGACATGTCAGGTATGTCTGTAAGAACCCTTTAAAATTGCAGGTTCTCTTTCAATTTCAGGCAAATAGTAGGTACCTACTACCTTTTAAAAAAACTTGCACGTTTGTATTAGTACATTCGCTTCGTGGGCGACATTCCAGTACCTCGAGCTTTCTGAAGAAATTTCTCTTCGCCCCCCACAACGATAGGTCAGTGATCGTATTATTAAACCTTTAAAATGAAAAAGTTTCCAAGTTCCTGAATCGCTCATAGCAGACGGCAGTGACGGCACTGTCAAGTGTCAGTTTTATGTCACAAAGTGGTCGATATCCGTTGAATTGAAAATTTCCAACTTTCGTGTACCAATTTATGTAAAAGGAGCTAAAGCGGGGGGCAATTTCTACCGTTTCCGATGTGTCTGTGAACCTTTCATTACAGTTTTTTTCCCCCAAAAGGAAAATTACGTTTAGCAGGCATTTCGATGGTGTCCCACATATGGTTCATATTTGAATCTGTCACCAGATTGAAAACATTATTTCAACTTAATGTACTGATTAATGTACTGACAAATAAACAAAATTCAATTTTTAACACGGCTTTTGACAGTGATTCCTTACAAAAAATAACCTCTGCCGGAGTAGTATTAGACATTACGTTCTGGGGCAAATCTGCGATATTTCGAAATAAACCTCGAAGATCTATTACTTAATATCAAGAAATCAAACCCATCTGAGACTCCCGTAATCAGTCAATTCGGATAAACCCGTAAGTGTACCTACATTCAGAAAAGCAACATGACCGAGTTTGGGTGCTTTTAGAAAACAAGAGGTCTTGAATTTGTGTCTTCCAGTAACCCTTTCTTCAAATCAAGTACCTATATAATATGATTTTCCCCCGTCTGTTGGAGTCTACATTGTCAGTGATTGAAGGTGCACACTGCGAGTGAAATGTGACTAATATTTAATTTCCTCTGGCTGCTGATGTAATTTTTTTGCCAGTTAATAAATGTCCCCATTGCCAGTGAACTATTATTATGTTATTTGTTTCCCTAGGCTGTTGGAGAGCCTGTGTTACCACCAGTGACCAAAGGTCCCCACTGCGAATGAAATGTGAATATGTGAATGTATTGGAAAAAACAAAATTTACCTTTTTTTGTGTTCATAAAGTTATGTAGGTACTTATGTGTTCCTTTAACATAGGTTACATGTAATTAATGGTGTATAAATACTGTGCAATTCATTTCATAAATGTTACCTTTAATAGAGGTGTTTTTTTTTATTTATCTTATAAATTAGGAAAATAGTAATATTTTGACAATTTATTTTTATCAGTTTAGTTGTGACATACTTAGTTTTTTGAGTAGTTGATATTGAGATAAATTATTTCAGTTAAAACATATATTATATACACTTAAAAGTCTTTTAATATCGACCTGTTAAAAACATAGTGATTGTTCTAAATAAGACTGATTTTATTTCAGTATTTGTACGAGTCACAGCTTAGATTCGCCATGTTAAGGATTAATATTTCTGTTTTTATTTCGTCCAAATTTTATTACAAATATCAAAATGTTATGACATTGTATACAAGCCTGTACAAAGAATTTTTTCGATACAACAACTATATATCTATTTTGTTTCAAATACTGTTTTCAGGGGTAATAATTACTTTATCCGTCTCACCTTTGATGTAACTCCAACTAGGTACACTAATTTTGAGAAAAACATGGCAAAGTTATTCTAAACTATCCTAAATTAGGATAGGAATGAGTCGAAGGGATTAATTTATCTATATAAAAATTTAAAAAAAAGGTGAGTATACTTCTGTACATATGTGAAACAAACTATAAAGTTATAAAAATAATTGAAAAAATAAATTAAAAAAAAATGTTACCATATATGTTTCTGATACAATGAAAAGAACTAACATTTGTTTCAGGACAAAATATAAAATATATTCTTGCTATTTGGGAGCAAAGACTATTAAGAGGTCCAGAAAATTATTCAGCTTTGTCACATTATTCCAGGAAAGATTATCACAATATTAATAGTCAAATAATTGTAGATAGTAACTACAAGAGGTATGGTAGATTTCCATTTTCTACTCCTGATGTAATTTAACTAAATTCAAAGATAGATACTGTTATAAAAAATCTGTATTTCACCGCTGAACCTGTTTCTGAATGATGATCATATTATTTCATTTCTGTTGCACGCCTTCTAAAAGTAATTTTTATGTCGCCAATTATCTAAAAGTATTTACAACGATCATGAATCATTACAATTATTAATAAATAAAATTTACTACTTTCCATAAAGATAATTCTTCCTATACTTTATTTAATTTGAGTAAATAAAATAGGTTTATCTTTTCACTAAAAAAACATGTTTGTTTTTTTGTTGCCCTAAGTGCCTGATATAACTTATAATAAAAATAAAATAATTACTTTTATAGGTTAGGTTAATCTCATATAGGTATCAAGATTTTACAACTTTTACAAGCTCTGTTGAACTGCTGTTACCACCGCAATACATAGTTCCAATAATCGATAGCGCTTATGTTGTCAAATATTTTCTGATAACATTTACATAAAATTCTTATAATTATTATAATCATAAAGAATACATTTTCCAGATATTTTTATTTATTTTTAAAGGGCCATTATAATCACAACTTTTAAGAAGCCTTTAAATTTCGAAGAAAAAGTACAGAATAGACATGACATAATATACTTTTAGATAATAAACCCTCTATATTTTAATTATTACATTTGCTGTAATTATTATTAAGTTAATCGTTGTTAAATATATTTATAACATCGAATTTCTCCACGTAATTTAAAATTTACGAGTCTACCTTCAAAAAACGAGGTCAAGTGCATTTCAGAAATAATTTTCCTCCATTGTTTAAAACGAATTTTAACTCTACTGTATGGATAAATAAATATGTATTTACTATCTTTTTTATATTTCATTTAAAAAGTTTTATTATAGTATAGTAATATTTCGTTTTACAATTATTATAGCTGTGTTCTTTTACACATGATTTCGGAATCATACACGTTACGATCTGAAATCTAGCAATTTGATTGGTTTACATCGGATCGTAACACGTTATGATTCCGAAATCATGAGTAAAAGAAAAGGGCTTATAATTGACTCTGTGGTCCTGCCATCTATACGCCATACGTTTAATAAAATATCGGTAATCTATAACCCAGATGTTGGATTGATTTTACCGACAACTTATGTTTTCTCTACTGTTTGTGTTTTCTACAACAAGATCAAGTGATCGATTTATCAATTATTTCGAGTAACGCTCGCTTACCCACGCTAATTTTTATGCGTCTTAATCGACAATTGTGTGTATAGAAATATTTACAGATTTTTATTAAAAATCGTTTTTTTCAAAACGCAAAATTTCTCTATAAATACACAGTTTACCAGGTAAATTTCTTTTTTCCAATATACTTCAATATAATAACTCACATATTAATGTTATTATTAGATTAATATGCCGAAAAAGGGGAAGAAACGGTTGACCCAACGAAAGGGGACCTGTATAAGGGGCCAGCCAACAAGATCTGTCTCCGAGGAGATGGCTGAAGGTACAAATAGTAGTTTTTCTGTGGAATTGCCTCCTCCTCTTATTGTGCCTTCTGCAGAGGCAGCCGTAACGGTTCATGGAGATATACCTCACGCGGTTGAAATACAACAGCATATAGTTCAACCAGTAGCTGCCGTACAGGATAAAAACTCCACAATAAATAGAGTGCCAAGAGATTCTTCCACAGAGGATTTAGTGAAAGCTGCACCTTCTACTTCCTTAGGTAATTATTACAAGTCTATTTTTGAATTTAATTAATTTTATTTTTCATAAATCAATACTAAAATTGGCCGCTCGGTATAATATAAAGCATTGTACATTGAAAATATACAATGTGTCCCAGAAGTAACGCAAAAAATTCGTATTTTATTTTGTGTTGCGTTTTCATAAAATCGTTAAAACACGTCAATTAGTAAATAATAATTGTCATTTTGTCACGTTGCTTAAATCTTTTTTGCGCTATGTTTCATAAACCTATGACATTATCGACATTTTTTTTAAATAGCACTACCTAATCTTTTAAGCATAAATGGATAGTCCTTTTGAAGATAAATACGTCCCTACTTTATTTTGACAGGAGCGAAAAAATGCCAATGACTGGAATGGACATGGTTTAAAATAACAACAAAAGTAGCTATCATAAACTGATGCGAGAACAGTGCCACAGTAACAAATGGAAATTTAGGGATATTTTGTGTTTTGGTTGATTGTAGGTACGTTTTTATGTATTGATATGTTGGCGTTTTCGGCGATACGACGAATGGCAGTGTGTGGATTTTCAGGGACAGGACATCATTTTCTATCACTGTCGTTGGCCTCCTAGACCTAGACAGATTTCTAACATGACCAGCGTCTTCAAATTTGGGTAGTAATCTGCATACTGTATATATAAGTACCTACTCAACATTTTATTTGTATTAAAATTGCAAAGTACATGTAAAATATTTATAAAATAACTATAGTTATTCTACTGAAAAAGACTATATTTTAAATGGGACACCCATATATTTTTACTTTGGAAGTTAGGAAATTTAAAACTCTTTCAAACTATGTATGGGGTTCCTTATACCTATCTCTAACGGTATTGGAGATATTTATGTCGTTTCATTTTTTTATCGAATTTTTTTTGTAAGATGTATCAACATAGCTTTATCGAGATATTTATTGAATTGGGAAAGCGTTCAAGAAAGCTTTCCAATAAAAAATATTATTTTATAAGCGGAATAATTAATTATAAAAAGTTATTAATTATGTTGTACGTTTGTTGTAATTAATTAGGAACGACATGAAAAATATTTATTAAAGGAAATTTTACTTTTAGAAGAAACAAAGAAAAATTTTAATTGATGATTGAATTGATAACCGTTCTCTTGAATACAGCATCTTATTCTATCTTTAAATGATATCCTCACATTCCTTAGAATATCTGGGGTGATTGTAGTAGTAGGTGGAACACTGTGTATAAGATTTTTTATATAGCCCGAAACAAAGAAGTCCACTATGCTGAGGTGTGGATATCTAGGTGACCACTGACATGGATCATTCTTACTTTTCCATTTATTACTAAATTTTCGATTTAAATAATTTTTCACTGAATATGAAAAATTTGAAGGTGCGCCATTTAATTACATTCTCATTTTTCTTCTTATATTTAAAAAGAGGTCAAGAAGAACCCAAACCAATTCGATAAAGACCTCGATGAAGACACATGGATACATTTTACAAAAAAATTCGATAAAAAAAAAACGACACAAATGTCTTCAATACCGTTAGAGATAGGTATAGGAACCTATACACAGTTTGAAAGAGTTTTAAAATTAATAACTTTCAAATTCAAATATACAAATTATCCCATTTAAAATAACTAAATTATTGCTGTTTAAAGTTGAAAGAAGTATTAAGCAGTTTTTTGAACACCCTGTACAATACTAAGTGACGACAAATATAATAATTTGTAATTTCAGGGATCTAAAATACACTCTCCAAAGAGGCTTCCTTAAAGTTATTTTTTTATTGCTAACATTAAATTTCTACGCTAAGCCAGCTTTTTCACTAAAATTGAAATATCTCACAAACAATAAGTCCTAGGTATNAATGTTTATTATTATGTTTCTAAAACGATAATTTGCTTTCTTTTCTATTCATCCAATCACTTCATACAAACTGTATAAAAATTATGTACTGAATGTACATAATTTAACACATTAATTAAAAATTCTCATCCATAGTTCAATATTTTTATTTTTTTCTTTTTCAAGACGACTCTTATCCATTATTTTGAATATTTCAATGACATATTCAATGTTTGTAGCGGTTTGGAAAACCGGGAAAAGGCAGGGAATTCATTATTCTTCACAAAAAATATGGAATAGTTGAGGAATTTTAAAAGTATTCATGAAAGTCAGGGAATTCGATGTATGCAACTGGAAATTTTGTGACAACTGGGTCTGAATTAGAGAAACCTATTTGTGGTTTTGAAACCTTTATAAGAGGTTCTTTCCTAACTTCTAACTTCTTCTTTCCTTCTAACCTAAAAGTGATCTGATTTTTTTTTATAAGTCAGGTAATTCTATATTACTTTTGAGCTATGAACCCTGATACTGTATTGGAACTTTTTGTGAATATTTTATACAATTATACAACGTTACTTAATATACTATTAAAAATATATCTACTACATATTGCTGCAATGCTTTGAGGAGATAAATATGCATTTCAATTCTTTGTTACAATTTATCAATTACAGACAAAAAGATGCATACGTAAGAGGCATTCAAATCTAACCTAATTAGATTTCATACTTTTAATGCACTTTTCTCACATACAAATATTTTATTTAAGTATTAATCAAATGTTTTCCAAAAAGTAGTATAGTTTTTTCTAATCTATTTTTTGTCCACAGCAACAACTCTCTATGTAGATATATTTCTTTGCAACAAAGCACTGCAAATTTAAATATATTTACATTTATAATTTTTTGAATAATTTCGGGAAAAGAATTATCATTAGAGTCTATATACGGTGTAGCAAAATGTTGTTCACAAAATTCTACATCCAAAAATACGAAAAAAAATTCCAATGAACGTAGATTCCACAAATGTTTCGTTTCCAGAAAAGAGGATGTCACAATAAAATAATAATGTTTTTTATTGATAATTTCTAAATTTTTCATTAAAAACATTTCAATTTGAGTCAACACATCTCAGACCCTTCAGGGGTATAGATGTGGGAGAGTAATTATTGATTTTTGACCATACAGTCTATACCAGTGGTTTTTCTACTGGTTTTTACTTTATTTTTAGGAACCTCATTTAATTTAAAGCAAAAAAATGCCCTTGCAAATTTTTTATTTAGCGAGTAGCTTTCGAGCTATTGAGGATTTTTTAAAATCATGCTCATCTTTCTATGAAACCAGTAAGTATTAAAAAAACAAAGAAATTTAAATTATGTCTAATGAAAAATTTAGAAATCAATATAAAACATATTTTTTTATTTTTTTTACTCCTTATTTTGAAAACGAAGCAGTTGCGGACATACATTAATAGGAATTTTTTTTCTTATTTTTCAATTCTGGAGCAGATTCTATTCTGCTATCCATACCATACAAAAAAAATTAAATTTAAATATAGAAAAATTTCTAATTTAAACAATTTCTACCAAAGGAATTTTGAATGGGAAAGTAGATTACCCTGACATAAAATTTCATGGATTTACAAAAGATCTATGGAATACTAATGGAACAAATACTGTAAATTTAAATGGAAAAAATATAACTGACAATTTTCAAAAAACGATTTTCGATTTATAAAATTATAGTTTGGAATGTAAACTACCTCACATAAAATTTTATATAATTTCAAGAAATCTCTGGGAGCTGTAATAAACAAAAAGCTATAATTTAATATATAGAAAACTTTCTACCCTCTAAAACAACTTTCGGGATAAGAATTATCATTGGGGTCTACAGAATGGGCCACCAGTAACGCAGTCAACCTCAGTAGCTAAGGACCAAACGGCAAATATTATAAGAACCTGTTTAGGTGGATAGGTGTAGATTGATTACAGCTACATTTTAAAAATGTTTTGAAATATACAAGGTATCCAGAAAAAGCGTACCATATCAAAGTTATGTATTTTTAAATGGAACACCCTGTATTTTACTACATTTTTGAAAGCCCCGTAAAAAAATAGGTGAACTTTACTAAAGGTTCTGCATAGCCTAGGACTTATTTGTACGATATTTCAATTTTAGTGAAAATACAGGCTTAGCGCAGAAATTTTATATTAGCAATAAAAAAATAATTTTAAGGAAGCATCTTTGGAGAGTGTATTTTAAATCCTTGAAGTTATAAATTATTATATTTGTCGTCACTTAGTATTATACGGATGTTCAAAAAACTGCTTGATACTTCTCTCAACTTTAAGCAGCAATAACTTGGTGATTTTAAATGGGACACCCAGTATATTTTTTCTTTGGAAGTTAGAAAATTTAAAACTTTCAAACTATGTATGGGTCCTCTATACCTATCTCTACCGGTATTGGAGATATTTATGCCATTTGGCTTTTTTATAGATTTTTTTTTTGTGAGATGTATCAACATGTCTTTATTGAGGTCTTTACTAAATTGGGAAGGCGTTAATCATAACAATATTCAAAAAAGCTTTCTAATAAAAAATATTATTTTATAAGCAGAATAATTATAAAAAGTTATTAATTTTGTATAAATATGTTTGTTGTAATTAATTAAAAACAACATGAAAAATATTTATTAAAGGAAATTTTAGTTTTAAAAGAAACAAAGAAAAATTTTATTTGATGATCGAATTGATAACCATTCTCTTGAATAGAGCATCTTATTCTATCTTCAAATGATATCCTCACATTCGTTAGAATATCTGGTGATTGTAGTAGTAGGTGGAACACTGTGTACAAAATTTTTTATATAGCCCGAAACAAAAAAGTCCATTACGGTGAGGTTTGGATATCTAAGTGGCCACTAACATGCACCATTCTTACTTATCCATTTATTATTAAATTTTATTTTTATTTTTATTTAAATAATTTTACACTGAATATGAAAAATTTGAAGGTGCACCATTTTTCTCATTATACTTAAAGAAAGATCAAGAAGAACCCAACCCAATCCAATAAAGAACTCGATGAAAACACGTGGATACATTTTACAAAAAAAATCGATAAAAAATGAAACGACACAAATAGAA